ACAATACTCCTCGCACTAAGTGTATACTTCACAATTAAGATGGAGAGGGGCAAAAAGTAAGTGCTTTATTTCTTGATGTAATTAGTTTTACACTATCTCATCTATAAGACAGCCATCGGTGAATTTCCTCCCACTTTATTAAATGAGAGCCAAAGACCGAGCGCAGTTCAAGAGCAGAGAACACGCAAACACCGGCGCGTACACTTGAAGGACATAGTCCCGGCACATTTACTACACTTGATAGGTTTGGCTGATGACAATACATTCACAAAACAAAAATGACGAATGCCATGACGTTGCGCTTTTGACATTGCTTGATTAGCCTTTTCGCCTCGTGGCGATTTTTGCTCTCCAACTTAAGGTGAAACGAAGGATGGTCACATTGGATGTTCGGATTCTTCGCCAAGCCGATTTGCTGTACCTCGGATATTTGGCAATATAACAGTCATAAGATCTGGATTTACGATTTGCATTCGATTGGATGGTTCCTACGAGTACCAGTGGGAGCGACCCTAGTCAAAATACTAGTTTCTTGATTTATTTTTGTATTCATTTATTTATTTCAAATTCTCCTCAAGGTAAGTACATTGTATATCGATAGCGATATAAAAGTAACTATAAACTGCACATATTAGTGAACATATTAAAAAAAAAAAAAACAATATCCGTGATGTTAGCAGTCAAGGCGTGAAGGTGTTTACAGTCTATCGATGTTTCGGGCATAAAATTGAAATAACGAAGTTCTAAAATGTTTTACACCAAGCGTATAGCTATGGCATAGCATTGATCAACCATTGCTGCTTAAAATTGATAAAAAAATTTGCCGACGAGTTCATATTAGACCAATTATTATTTTCGCCAACTGCCTGAAAGCAGAGAAGCAATTCTTCCGTCACTGTATCTCATTATGGCGGCCCCGAATCGACCAACTCAAGCTCAGTAAGGCTTAACGAGAACGCTACGTTTATTGTACGGGGCGAAAGGAGCAGCACATAAAGCGTAACACGAGCTTGCCGCGAAATGTATTTATTTCCAAAGCCAACTCCCTACCCCTCCCCCCCCCCCCGCCCCCCCCCCTCCCCCCCCCCCCCCCCCCCCCCTCGAGGTAAAGAAACTGGCCTTTTGAACACACTCCTTCAGCACTCTCGTCGTCAGCCTCGGGATTTCAAGCGGAGACAACCCATACCCAATCCCTTCGCGCACTTTACGCCTTACCTTTACTATTCCTGGAGCCACAATTCCTTCGTCAACCGCACATTCTGGAGGAATGGTAAACCATTCGAGAAACCAAAAGCCGCTCTCAAGGAAGCAAATTCGAAGCAGCGTGGATCATTGTTGTAGGATAACCAGAAATTATCGCCAAGTGTGAAAGAAGCTTGAATCGCTTGCCACCATATGGCAGGGTCAAGCAGAGTATTTGCAAGTAGCTAGGATAGGTGGGGCCAGGTGCCGCCCAATTCATGTGCTACAAAACATATTTTTATTTGCTCACGCCATCATTGCGTTTCAAGCCCTTCGGGCACTTTTGTTCTACACACTGTTAGATATAATTGCGCATACCACAGGCATCCGTTTATGTGCTCAATGTACGTTTGTATGTGGAGCGCACACACGCACTCCACGTACAAACGTCAACACAACATGACAATTACCCAATGACTACTTCCGGGCTCTCCGTTTTTTTTTTTTTTTAATTTTTATACCCGTCGTATTGAAGGTACGGAATTTCTCGGTGGCAACCTAAGCAATATTCAATATTCCCAGTGTGTTGATTTTTACAGCGGAGCTGGTAAGGGCTAGTTTCGCCAGTTTCGTGTCCGGTACCAAACAAATGTCGTCACAGAGCTACACAAAACTCTGTACAGCTACCGCAATCTATGAGCAACGGCGGCAGCCAGACAAGCAGTCTGGTTACCGCCGTCGCTCATAGATGGCGGCACCCTTTCCAGCTGTCATAGAAGAATGGATAGTTGGGCGATTTGGTAAGAATTCGTTGTAGGAAACCGCGCGCAAAGCAGACGAGGACGAAGAAGCACACGTGACGAGCGCAGAGCTCCTGCCATGTGTTTATTCCCCGTGCTCGTCTCTATTGCACGCTGGTTTCTACGTTCTTGTCAGTTGAGATTTGGACTCACGATGGGTCGGCCGCGTGCCCTTTCTTCGGGGAAAGAAGACCGGATGCGGAAGGAGCGGCGACGTACGCAGCAGCGCGAATGGGTCCTCAACCGCCACGAAGCCGCTGTCGCCTCGAGTTCCACTGCGTCGAGCGCTTCAGATTCTCTTGCGAAAGAAAAGCACATCGCTTGCCTGGAAAGCCGCCACTGAGAACAGAAGCTACAGCGCCTCTGCTCTTCCTTCTTCATCAAGATGGAAAAGCTAGAAGGTTTTTTTTTGTTAGTAACGTTATAATTCTGAGATTATATTGAGCTTCTTATGGGATGAAATTTTTTGTGAAAAGTAAACGCTCATGCCACAACAATTTGAAAGCAAATAAAACAAGCCGCTTCAATCCGGTACCAAGCCGTGTGTTTGGTTCCCCGCACGGCACGTCGTAGCCCGTTTTTCTATTGTATTACTTAGTTTTCTATTTGTGTTGTTCGCGTGCGGCTGCAATCGTCGTATTAAATTAACCTCTGTAGGTGAAGCCATTCACTCAGCTGTAAACAATGCGTCACGGACAGAGAAATCGCTTTCGATTAACTTGAATGCTGTCGAAACCGGGACTGGCTGTGGGTATTAAGTGTACGGAGCTACGCCGTGGTGAGCTCAAAAACTTCTATCGCTCATCCGAGCGCTCTACTTGGAGGGCCGTTTTTCCAGGAGCCACATCATATTTAAACAGACACACTATGCTGTACGATTGGAGCTATGGTTCAGACCAGCGTTCCAGCATGACTATCCGCAGGTCAATCAAGTGAAACGTAATCCCTCAAGCGGTGTTAAAGCTCATTAATGTAAAGCGGAATGTCACCCTGCAACACACCGCCCCTCTGATCACAGCCCGACCAGCGGCACCAACGCCTGAAAGTTTACGTCCTCTCGTCTTGTTGTTGCATTACTGATACACGAACAAAGGGTCACATCGACGCTAATTCCAGTATTCATTTCAAAACGCATAACGCTGCCATCGCGAGGATGGTGCTATGTTGCTGACAGGCTGAGACACAGAACCATCTTGACTGCCGGTTCGCACTCGGCATCGGAAAACAGAACTGAACTCAGCACAGGCTGAGTTCAGTTCTGTTTTCACTCTGCTTCCCTGGTGCCGAAGCACAGTGAACTACCAACATTTATTAAATAACGAGCGCGATGTGCTCGAAAGACGAATTGGAAAGATGAGGCGGTAGGGCCGAAACCCTTAATCCGCCTCCCTGGAGAAGGAGAAAAACGCCTTGTTCCTCCCTTGTTCTCGTGTTCGCTTGAGGGCGCGTCAGTAGAATGGAGGAAAACGCGCCGTTGTTACCTTTTCCCTCCTCTTTTTCCCCTTAGAGTGCGTGTACTAAAAATTAACAAATAATAGGGTTTTATTTTTCTAAGCAAATCTTAGGTATCTTTTCTGATCTTTTCGCAAAGCAACTGGGACGATTTTAACTCTAACAGAGACATTTTCATATATCTTGTTACATTTATCTACATGAATGTAAGTCTTTCTATGGCAGTTGTGAGTATAATTAAGCTTGGTTTCGAAAAACTGTGGCCGCAGGAGCTCTTAAATTTCGAGCGGTTCTATTGACGGGTTTTATATGGCAAAGAGATACCTCAGTTTAAAAAAGCCTTCCTCAAACTACGGTAAAAACATTTCTGAATTCTAGAGCCTTGATAATATGATCGAGCGTATGCGATGGCTTTTACCATATCTGCGAGTCAATGCTGACGAAAGTGAAAGAGAAATCACAAGAGGTTGCAAACTGTTGCGTCGTTTTCCAGATTATAATTTGTTATCAAGCTTCCCAAATACTGACTTATACAAATTACTTAAGTGCAAATCGCAAGAAGCATATATTTTATTATGTTTTCTACCAGAAGGTCTAAATGCTGTTGTCAAATATAAGCACAAGAAATTAGGGCTACAATACATTTAATTACTATTATGATGTTGTGATATCCTTGGCATTGATCGTTGTCACTAGCGCAATTCGTTCTTATGTAATCACTTGTGAAACTCGACATGCCTCTTTCCACCTCCCCTATAATGTCTCTGGTCCCAGCCAGGTAGGCAAACTCTTGCTTTATGAAATCGTTCTATTGTGTAGCAAAGCACAAGAGGGTAACATTCCGAAAGAATGCGGATGTCGAAAAACAGTTTTCATGATTTTTATTAAAACTTTGCTCCATAGACACATTTGAGAGAACCGGCATGTTGCTGAAGGAATCAGTCTTGCTTTCTACGTGTTTGTGGCATTTTATTAGACCAACCCGTGATTTACTACCACCTCCATGTAATATATTGCTGATCCTGTTGGTTTTACGTGGATAAACTATCATATTAATAATGACCTGCATTCAGACAAGAGCGATCAATTATGATTTTTACTTTGATCTGCATTTGGCCAGCGTTTCGTTGATTTTGACGTGTGGTAGATTGCTTCAATGCACTTTCAGGTAGTCTTTAGGTCTTTCAAATAATGAAGGAGAATGTTTGGTCTTTACTCTAAATCAGACTGCTAAAGATCAGCAATGAAGCTTCATTCTAAAAGCTCGTGTTTTGATCTTGGCTCCACATTTCAGGCTGGTACACCACTAAGCTAATAACCTTGCTTAAATTCGACATTCCCTATTGTGTCTGGCGACTGCTTTAGCGCCACCCACGAGAAGTGAGGACAATAACGGCTTTATCAGTGCTAAGAAAGTGTTATACAACACTAAACAAATGTAATTCAGTACAATAAGAGCACCATTTTCACGGCAAGACTATCAAGAAGTAATTAAATAAAAACTTATTCACAGTTAAAACAGCTATTTTTCATATGCGAATAACAAACATATTTTGTGATCTTCAGAAAGCATGCGCAGGAGTACACCATGGTCATCGAGGCAGAGGTACATGCTTCCTCATGCTCAGAAGCTTGTGGCAATCTGGGGATTCTACTTGATTTTGTTAGCTGAACTCAGCGCTGGAAGATCATTATTGGGTGAGTAATATAGTCAGAGTATCATTTGAAGACTCTTGCATCGTATAATGTAGACTAATTCATGCATGTCAGCCTCAAACGTGTTACGGGTATAAGTTAAGAATTTAAAACATTAAATTTAAAATCATTCATACATTATATCAACATGAATAATTCAATTTCCTTTCATATATTACCAGATTTGTCCTCCCAAAAAGTGTGTGAAACAGAAGCCTGCAAAAAAAGAGGTGAGAATGTTTAGATGCAACTGGCACTTATAGTCCTTCGTCCGTCATCGAACTGTTTCTAGTTCCGCAAAGGGATACTGAACCAAGGAACTTACTGTCCATAATAAGTGGCGCGCGTTCTTTCCACGAGCCAGCAGCCGCCGGTGTGCGCGAGCACACGCAACAAAATGACGTCAAAGACCTGCATTCGCGGTTAAGATAACTGTGAAATGTATTGGATTTGGGCGAAAGGAGAATAAAGCCAAGTGTTTAATCTACAGATTGGTGTCTGGTGTAAAAGGTAAGCGATTAATTGGTCTAACAAGCACGTAGCTTTCACTTGTAGAGATGAAAAGCCTGTCTTTGTTCTCCTTTGGCCCGAAGCTCATGCATTTTACTGTCCTCTTAAGCGCAAATGGAGGTCTTTTACGTCATTTACGTTGGGTGCGCTCGCGCACACCGGCCGCTGCTGGCTCGTGGAAAGAACGTGCGCCACTTATTATGGTCAATAAATTCTTCGGTTCAGTATCCCTTTAATGCATAACCAACTCCCAAAATTTTCAACAGTACACCGACGTAACTGACTATTTATTTGAGCAGCAGATCACGTTGGCTGCTTTATACAAAGTAGTGATGAAGTCACCTACGTGAAGCGCTCGTAAAAGTACCCAGCGTTTGTTTGTGAACAATTTTATAAATGATAGGACGTCTGTAATATATCAAAATGCGTCCTAATTGAAAGTTATTTAGAATAACGCGCGTAGTTTAGGCTCAAGTTAGCGCTAAATCTAGCGCTTGCGTTAATGTACGCCACGCAAGACAGTCTTAGGATATCTTTTCTCCGACGCGACCAAAACACTCAAACATCGCGCGCTTGCACCGCCTTTAAGGCACAGTAACAATGTTTATTTCACACACAAATAATTTCACGAGAAAAGAAAAATGTATTTTTTTTTGGTCCCGACACACTTTTAATATTTGCTCAACTATGAGAATGCTTGGAAGTTTGGGGTAGTTGGTGTTTCATGATTAAAAATTAAAACAGCGCAAGGACACGGACAAGAACAAGAGCATAGCCTTGTTCGTCTACCTTCTTGTTCTTGTCCGTGTCCTTGCGCTGTTTTAATTTTTAATCATGAGAATGTGACGCGAGCGGTGGACATGTCGTGTGCGCTTGCGTAGTCTCGGCAGAAGAGGTCTCGTGCACCAACTTTCGCCACGTTCGAACACCGAGAAACGCTTACCGAGAAACGTTCGAGCTGCAAGTGGCCAGCGATCGTTGCGCACCTTGCGGGGTCTTCCAAACCGTTCATGACGTGTTTTTTGTCCTGTTCTAAACGTTTTTGTCATGTTAATGCTGCTTAAGTTTTGAGGCATCAGCAACTCAGGTTAAACGTGTGGCAGTAGGGCCTCAGATTTCCGGCGGCTTTGATGTAGAGGTACAGTTGTCTCCACAGGAGGTGCACCGCTCTGGGCACCGGGTTCGGTGAAAAAATCTACTCCTCGTAGCTAGAAGCCCACTGGTCTTGCGGTATTTCTTTAAGAGCACGTTGCGGGGCTTCGAAGTACATGGAACACTCCCATGCTAGGTGTTTTTTTGCTGATGGCACAGCGCACTCGCGCCACATGTCCCCGTCCAGGTCGTGTCCATGACGTGCAACTCCCGCAGTTGTACAATGTCGTCCTGTATTGAAACTTACAGTCGCGAGGATACGGCCGACGTCGCATTCACGACGACCACAAAAAGTGGCCACCTCCGCAGTCCTGGGAGCCGTTATTTTCTTACTGTGCACGTCTAGGCTATAGCCAACTTCTCGCTTATCACGATTTTGCCTTTAGTGTAGCGTAAATGCTCTTTGCGTAAACACGAACTTTCCAAAAAACAAAAATAGCGTACGCTGAAATAGCGCCCGCAAAGTGCAAAACACGGTTAGCGTTCGGCGCCTGCGCAGTGTCGACGACGCGACTATCACGTCTTTGTAGACGCAATATTTTCTCCTTCATTCACATTTTTATAATTTAGTAGTCCTGACCACAATTGCAGGAGCAGAAGCAAGAAGCTGGAGCAGCTGGAACTACTTAAGCACGTATATGTTTTGAGGCTACGATAAAAAGCTCCACTAACCACAACTCGAACCTCCGTTTTTTTTTGTTTTTTTTTTTCTTTCTTTTGCCCGGAATGGTGCCCGGAATGGTTATTGTATCCAAATGAATATATCTGAAATCACTTCAGTTAAACTCGAAGTATTTTAGAAAAGCCAAAGTAGCCATCCAACTAGATGTTACACATTAGAACTAAGTCTCAGGGCAGGAAACACGTAGAACTCATACCTGAAGATGGTTAGGCAAGAATGAGTCGAAGTACTCGTTGTGACCTTTTACTTCGCTACAAAATTTTCCATTTGAAACACACGCATGCAAACTTTGATTATGGTAACAAACAGACAAAAATACGAAACGCATGGTGCACAATTTATTGATAATTTAAGCAGAGTAAGGCGGGTGTAGTTTATTAAAATTTCAAATAAAATACGAACAGGGGTATAATAAATAATTAAGTTTTCTGTTGTTCGACGTGACTTTCGAATATAGGGCTACCGCAGACCCGCTCCAGTGGGTATCTTCACTTTTTAGGGCTTCGCTCTTACCGACTAGGTATTTGTACTACAGCCTGTTGCAAGTTTAGAATAGCAGGACAAGCCACTCCCTGAAATGCTTTCTGCTCGCTATCATTTGTGGCTTCCTCTTCTTCAGAATTTGCTTTTCTAAAGTGGAAGGAAGGGGAGGGGGGGGGGGGGCTTTCTAGAATGGCCTTTTATCCTGCTACTTTCAACCTGCAAGATTATAGTGTGTTACATCGTGGTCACATAAATTGTAATGCAAGTAAGTCATTTCTGGAAAAAATACGATCAAACGAAGACACTATTAAATGATGTCAAGCCTTAATTAGAGACCTCTTAGTATCATATGATGCATCTGTCCATCCTCTTTCTTCGGTGCCAAAAAAACAGAAAGCTCCGAATTACAAATATTTTCGGTTTCGCCCATTGGCAGAAGAGGTTTGCAAGATATCGATTGACTGCTAGATACGCAAATGCCTGCTGTAAATTTTATTTGTTCATTTTAAGGCCGTAGTTTCAATTAGAAAATTACTCGGCATCATCAGTAACCACTATGTCAACCCTTTTTAGACAACTATAAAGCATATCGAGCGTTTTACTAAGTCGTGAAAAACCATTCAATTATGACGCGTATTCTGGTTTGGTATTCTTATCTAAGCGCATCTTGGCGGCAGCTGCCCTGCCCTCCGACGGTCGAAGCCTGGAACCAAAATTACACAATTTGCCAATCTCGCCCGCCTCCCTTCTCTCTCTCGTAAAACGACAAAGAAGTGTAGCGCGCGCGCGCGCGGCCAGGCGATAGGAAAGCCTTGTTGTTCGAAAGAGGAAAGAGCACGACATTGCAAGACTGAGTTTTGACTTTTGGTTTACTTCCGCCATGCGAAGAATGACTTGATTTTCAAAGTGGAATCTCACTGAAGCTGGGATATTCTTCGCACAGCTCTACCGCGCTTAACATGTTTACGGCACTCATGAAGCATCGACGGAGTTGTCACTTTGCAGGTATTGTTTCTTAGTACAGTGTGTTTAATTACAACCAATCTTTATTGACATAACCTATTTACGCGATAAGACAATTAGAAATTTAGCAATCACATACCGAATCGCAGATTTCTCCTTTGCAAATAAAGTTAGAATGACCTTTATTGCATTCATTTTGTCACGGCAGCAATATCGTTCTCTAAACCCCTTTTTTGTTAAGTCACTTTTAAAATAGACATGAAATTAAACATTATATTAACAAAACAGTATAATTGTTACCCATATTTTAAAATTGATATATCAAAAGAGGGCTTCATACAAAACAGGCCCACAGACAATATAAATAGAAAAAAGGTATTCCTAACTTCATTAGCAAAGGAGACATCTGCGATTTAATGTACGATTTGCAAAGTTCAAATTTTTTGATGATGTTTTGATTTTAAAGTTCGGTTGTAATGTACCCATCAATATTGAAAAAAATCATGTTAACGACAGTCCTGTAGCTGCTTTTTAAGTACCGTAAAGACGGAAAGCTAAACACCAAAAATAAAGATGGCGTCCGTGGGACCTCAACCTTTAGAGAGGTCTAAAACACACCATTCGACCGACTAAATAAAGAAGTAATTGAAAGGCCTCATGAAATATGTGATATTGGTGGCCACGTAAGACACAGCGCTAGCGGATCATCAGGTAAAAATAGCTTGTTTTCTATTTCCTTGCGATTGTGCCCGTTTTATTTGGTTATTTGGCTAAAATAAGTTCGTTTATTTATTCCGAATCAATACAGATTGTTGGGCTAGTTGGTACTGGGAATTCGACGTCATGATGGTGCTTAAGACGAGGACAAAAGGGAGACAGACAACACGGAGCGCTGCTTCAACTGTTTATTTTTTAACAATAGGGGGGTGGGGGACATATATACACTCACACCGCTTCACCTCAGCCAATCCCAGGCCTCACCTCGCTCGCAAAAACGCTATATCTCGTCTAACAGCACAACGAAGGCAACGCTGACACATTGTGCTCCAGACTGTTTTATCAAGTCTGCTTCTATTATTTCCCTGACCGTCTTATCCTTGTGTCTGGCTAGAATCGCGCACGTGATGAACAGTGGCCTGCATCCACAATCGTGACAATGAACTAAAAGATGACGGTCCCGGTGGTTATTAACATTCAAATTGTGCTCCCGTAACCTATCATTTAAGCATGGGCCTGTTTGTCCGATGTACTTTTTACCGCAGGACAACTGAATCATGTACACGACTCCCTCTGCACAACCGACAAACGGGTTTCTATGCCTCTTGCCACAGCACAGGGGGCCTCCGCGAAAGGGGTTCGTTACTCTGCACAACAAGGCTAGCTTCTCCGGAGCCGAGAAAACAACCTTCGTATTCACTCGGTTAGCTATTTTCTTAAGGT